ACAGTCCAATTCATCCTCCCAGGTCTTCGAATCGTATTTGGGGGCTCTCGTGAACTAGAGGTTAAGGTCTTCGCCTCTCATTCAAAGGTCCCGTGTTCGAATCCGGGTAGCGACGGAACATTTTTCTTCTCTAAAATAGCCTTCTTTCACTTCATATCCTGCTCTCTGGCAATATTCTGTTGTCTGCTTTCGTCTCTACTTTCTGCCCCCACCCCCCTTTCCTACTTTGCGGCCTCCTCTGGGTTCCTGACTCTTTCTGCAGCCTTTCTACTGCTACTTCTTGGCTCCTTCTTACTGCTATCTTTCAGCCACATCCCTGATCTTCTGGTAGGAAAAATCTACACTTTGTCTTCTCGGACAAGGGCGAAAAATCTCTGAGGACCCGTGTTCAGGTTGCGCTCGTTAAAGATCCATTGCAGGTCTAAAAGCGGTAAGAGTAGGCTTCGGCCACCACCCGGGGAAAATTCAAAATTTCCTACCAACTGAAAATGTTTAATGTGTCCCGCGCGCTCATATGACCTTGTGCACTTGCGAGCGCCATAAAACACTTACAGAAAGAATCGCACCAAAATTGGTGAGAGGTTAACAAATTTCCCTTTGGAAAGAAATGTTTTAAAGTACAAAGAATGGGAGGTAGAAAGATACACTGCCCTGCAACCCTGTAACTTCCGACAAAAATAATTAATGACATCGCCCATCGTCCTTTTGTCTCCGGGCTTAGGAAAACCAGGTCGAGACTCAAATCCAATAAAATATTCACAGTCCGTAAGTCGGATAATCCTGTTTCCGGGTAGGATGGTGTTGTTGCCTGTTTGTATAATTAGCGGTTTCTTCCAACCTCTCCCTGGCTCTGTGATTCCCGAAAGAGAAAGGATGATGATCAACAACACACGCGCTGACTATTGTAGGCGAGAAATCCGGGCCAACGAAACGAGAGCGACACGAAACACAACAGGACAGTAATTAGTTCACGATAGTGACAGTAGTTGTAGGAGGGAAACGCCTGCGAACGAAACGACACCGACGTTTTTTAAAATTGAATTCTTTTCTTTTCCTTTTTTTTTTTCTTTTTCTTTGGGGGGGGGGTGTGGTAAGGAAGATCCATAGTCCACATTTTCTTAAAAAAAGAGTCAAAATCCCTTTTTTTTTCTTTTGAACAGAGAAGAAATTGAGAGAAATTGGAGAACAAATTTTCAAAAGAATGGGATACATGTTCAGTCGTTGAATCACCACATTCGTACTTTTCATTCAAATTCAATGAGGTTTTAAAAGTCCGTGTGGAAGAATTCTAAAATATCGTCATGAAAGTCTGTTTCGGTTTCATTTCGGCTTCTGTTTCGTTTCGTCTATCTGAACTCCGAATCTCACGCAGTATCCGTGACTGGCCGAATTACCAGCCTTAGAGACTAAGATCTCTTGCCCATAGTCGTATAACGCAGCATCTGTCCGGAAAAGTCAGATAGCCCTGGCCTCGCAGACCCTTCAGGTTTACTTATATGTGACAGGGTAAGTCTAGCTTGATCCGGGTTCGTCCCTGGCTCCAGGTTCCGGGTGCGTAAGATAGTGTATATTTACGATTAGACCGACTTCTGATAGCCAAACCCATAACGTATGCGTCTGCTTGAAGTACCGTATTTGTTTCGTCCTCTCTTTCCCCTTCATTTTTATCTGATTCGGTTTTTTTGGTAAGACCCACTTCCGCTGGTGAGAGAGAGCCTTTCGACCGTCTGCGACCAGCTGCTTTATTCCGGTTGCCGTTTTCTTTTCGTTTACTTTTTTTTTTTGGTCCTGTGGTTCGTTTGTTCTTTGGCTGTCTGCTCAGCCGATCCATTGATAAGGAATAATTGCTTCTTTGACAGCTGAAGGATGGCCCCAGTGACTATCTCTTTCTTTCCCACCTTTTCCGCTGTCTATCTCATGTCTAGTTTTTTTAATAACAATCATCGATCATATTCCTTTATTAGACTCCTTCTTTCTCCACATCGCATTTCTATCTACCTACTTATCTATCTCTTTATCTCTCTCTCTCTCTCTCTCTCTC